AGCATCATTTATAACGCGGTTCGTTGATCCCACGTCATTGGAGAATGTTCGGTGATCTATGACCAGCGACGAACGGGGGCAGCATGCGCGAGCGCAGGGTCAAGTTCAATTTGTAAGGCTGCGTCTAAGGCGGTGTAAGGACCCAGAGGACTCCTTGCCGGATCTCGAGTCCTTCCCCCTTTGGAAAGTATTTTTGGGTATTCCTGGTAAAATCCGCTGGTTTTACCAGGTAGGCCAGCCTCGCTTAGTCTGTCCTTTTCAGGACGGGTGTGGGATGGGACAGCCCTGATTCAAGGTTACAATTCCTCTGCTTTAAAAAAGTCGAGGTATAGGTACTAACCTCTTTAGTGAAACGTTATGTGCAATATCCATCAAGCATGTTAACGATGCGCGGGAACTGGTTCCGTTGGGGACCGTTACCGTGCGTCGTACCCCGCAGTGAGGGACATCGCTGAGTTTTAGTGGGCAGGCCCCTGCTTTTTGACCACTCTGGGGATTGGTCCGCAGGGGAGAGCCCCACAAAACCCGTGGAGCTCGCGCAGGGTGAAGCGAGTATGCGTAAAGCATTTCTCAGCCTCAAAAAAAAACATGGTAACGATGTGTTACCCCACACACACACTCAAACTACATTATTATTCTTAATACAAAATGCTTAAACAATCCACTTGGTCTTTGGCACCCTGTGATAGGAATCGAATCCACGATCTTTCTCAAATCAGTATGGCATTGTGAATGCAAAATTAATCAAAATATAATACATTATTATAACTGTGAAATTAAGATATTTAGCAAGTGCTACAACCAGTTAGTATCTGTAAAATCTGCACATTAGAAAGAAAAAGATTGTGTTGGTCTATATACCTTTCTCTATTGACGGCCATGGTATTGTTAATTGTTTCAGTTTATAATAACTACAACAACTGAACATTGTAACTGAACTCGCGTGACAATGCAGCTAAAATTCAAATTTTACTTCCGTTGCGTGTTACGTGTATGTCAATGATGTGAATCGAAGTATATGATATTAATTTCTCATTAAATTATATCTTTTAGTGGATCTACGTACGGAGCACGCGACATGTCACGGCTTATCATCAAACCACGCCGTTTTGAGTTATATACAGAGGGGAAGATAAACTGTTTAGCGTTTGATGAAAATTTTATTCAATTACAAATTCATCATAAAGCACAATGGGGTAGTCGAATCCTACGTTTTTCGTTTTACTGTGAATTGATATGAAATAAAATAAGATTAACTATGGTAAACCGCAGCAACGAATACTTAATCGTATTATTGCTATAAATCATCTTTTACACCTACATCCCGCATATATATTAGGACTTCTTTTTCTTTAACATATTAATAAATTATTTAATGTACAATAAATACATCTTAAGACTTCGTCGTGCCTGTTTCATACGATAACTTGGCATATCCCTAGGGAACCGTTTAGTAGGATAAAAACATAGCCTTTTTGATTCAGGCTTAAAATTGTCTGTATAGTTTCCTTCTGGGCAAGTTCGTTCCACCGTAGATCTCATCTCTGTCTTGAGGCTAAATTGAGGGCAAGAGTGAGCCCAGAGTAAAAAAAAAAAATTATATCTAATTTCATTAACATCTGTTCAGTTGCGCAAATCATCATAACTTTCGCATTTTTATTATTAGTAGGATGTATATATTATTTTGTGATGACTTACAATCGGGAAATCACTTAATTAATTTTGCCATTTGATCCATTATATTTATTACTAATATAAAACTAAATTACAATATGAGTCATATATAAATAAAAAGGGCGGAACGGGCAGCCAATAAAATAGAAAAACAAAAACATTGTGAACGCCTCCTTACTTAATGTGTTCAATCAATGCCAAACGTTTGATAGCGACTGTAAACTGATGAACTGTGTATGTTATTCAATAGCGCCGCATTATTAGTTCCCATGTTATAGATAGACGCCTATTTCAAAGTTAATAGCACTGAGAAAAGGTTCTCAAATAGCTATCATTAATTTTTCACAAAAAATGTTTTTGTTAGTATACAGTGCTTTATTATTAAATGAAACGGTACATATTACATAAACGGAACAGTTTTGACTGCCCATATTTATGATGGCACTCTAATTGAAGAGTTTGACATATATATCATCAGCCGGAAGACGTCCACTGCTGAACATAGGCCTCCCCCTTTGAACGCCACGACGGACGACATTGCGCCAGCTGCATCCAGCGGCCGCCCGCGACTCGGACGATGTCGTCCGTCCATCTAGTCGGGGGTCGACCCACGCTGCGTCTTCCGGTTCGTGGTCTCCAATCGAGAACCTTTCGTCCCCATCGGTTATCGATTCGTCGAGCGATGTGGCCTGCCCACTGCCACTTCAGCTTACAAACTTTGCGAGCTATGTCGGTCACTCTAGTTCTTTGGCGAATATCCACGTTTCGGATCCTATCGCGCAAAGAAACCCATAACATAGCTCTCTCCATGCCTCGCTGAGCGACTCTGAGCTTCTCATATTCATTTTATTATTTATATTATTGTCTTATATATGTCATATATGAGAATATATGACATATATAAGACAATAATAATTGTAGTTATACAATTTAAAGCAAAGTACTACAGATTATAATCTGTGACATTAAGACTATTACTATACTCCTGGTTAATTAAGTAATATAGTTAAATTACATTCATAAATGAAAATGAAAAATACTTTATTCAAATATGCATACTGCAAGCACTTTTGAACGTCCAATTTTTGCCCTAGGTTCTAAACGTCTTTTGGTTGACAAGAAGAACGAGCGGAGAAGAAAGAACGAAGACCAGCTCTATATCAGAAGTAATGATATTTATATCAATAACATCATTAACAATATATACATACATTGATCTTAAACATTAGATACTACTTTTTTGGGCAGTCATGTAAAAATATCCCTTTGTTTTTATACAATAGCCTACGCCATGATATTTCTGCTAATGACCATTATTACAAACTCGAGCCTAAAATGAAGTCTGCAATTTTTTTGTTGTAAGACATTGTTTGTATAGAAACTAAAGTAAACAACGTAACAATTCCTTTAAACTTTCGCTGTGTCTGCCTGGAGCTAGAATGAGATTGCTTTTAAATGAACCATCTAATAATAGTACTTTTCTGTTTTTACGAATAAAATACAAAAGGCAAGATATGCTTTACATAATAAAATGAAAAATAAACCATAATACTCATAATAATAGCGTTAATAATAATAGATTAAAGAAATTGTCACCTCTAAATATTAACTCAGTATACTAGATAGCCCAGTGATTAGCGCGCTCGGTCTGCGTAACTGTTAAGCAACTTTCGTAAAGGCCGGTTATTCCTATAAAAATATATTAACGCGAGCTCCTCCGCGCTACGTAAGGCACGTTAAACCGTTGGTCCTGCCCCTATCTTCAGTATTTAATACACGCACTGGCCCCGCGTGGTGGGTCATGGTCTTTCATCCCTAATCGATTCGATCTATAGAGAAGGCTTGAACCCCAGCTGTGGATATCAATAGGCTGGTGATGAAATATAAACAGTAATCAGCTAATTTCAGTATTTCAAATTAAATAAATACATCTGATTCAACAAGCGTTAGTTCTCGAGTCAGTGTTACTTATTTGAAAAATAAGAATCTGCAAAAATTTTCCTATACCGAACGCTTACAATTGTTGGGTTACTCTTCGTAGTTATTTTAAGGTCGGTCCTTTTTTCCCGTCCGTACTGCCGTAGTGCTGTTCAATTAAAAGAATGGCCGCCGTTTTATTTTCCATTTCCTTGTTTGCAATAAAAAGTTTATTCTACCTGATTGTGTATTAAGTAAATTTACATACTCAGCTATAGCAGTGTTCCTTTCTTGTGTTCATAAAAAATATGAATGCTATTGTAGTATTTAGCAAAGAAAGAAACACGACGAATTTACGGAAATACATAGAATTACATAAATAACTTTTGTACGGTTTCATAGCGTTTGTATTTAGTTTTATTGACGTTATGGGACTTTTCAGGTTACAGTCTTATGTAAATAAGACTAAGGTGTTAGGTGGTGTAATCAAAAACTTATATAAATATATATATATTTATTAATTCAGTAACACCTAAGCATATTTGACAACTAAGAATATGCTTAGTTGTGACATCCTTATTTTGCTTTATGTAGCAAATTTCATTCTGAAAGGTTGTTTCAATTTGGAAACTTAAAGACACAGCCCTGTTAATATTTTAAATTGATTTTCGGAGTTTCCGAGTCCTTTCTTATTTTTTATGGATCTCTTCCATTTTTTTAATTGACGAACTTCAAAGCCGAGTGGCTCGTACGCTGGTTTTCGGTTGTCACCATGTCAGAGGTCACGGGTTACATTCCTGGTCGGGTCACAGACAGTGAACTTTGCTGTATTGCTTCGTATCTGAGTGTCGTGGTGCCTTTGTTATTTCAGATTTCGATAATATAAGTGCTTTAGCTACTTAATTTGGTATGTATGTGAGTTTATCTACTATAAAAACTTAGTTCAATTATTGCAATAACTTACAAGAAAATTCTGACATAAATAACTAGCTGGTATTTGACATGAAGATGAACTTAACTTTTACCGTTGTCATTTAGCCTCAATTAAGTTTATCTTCAATCGTATTAAGTATTCGGAGAGTGGTCCTTCTAAATTACATCAAATCATGGTCGAGCAAAAAAAAAAGACTCACGGTCGACCAGTCGATAACAGAACGCTTTTTGCTGCATAATCATACATGTGTATTTAAGAAAAAAAAGCTAGTCTTTAGTAATTAGTTGATGTTCTAGAAACCAGTTATGTTCATTTTTTATACAACCACTTTGAATTCGTTGAATACAACGCTGTTACGTTATAAGGGTTCAAATCAAATGAAAACAAGTTTATAAAAATTTTGGACTACGGGTTGGGTTAAAGTTAAGGTAGATAATGTAGTTGGAACTAGAAATTAAAAGAACATTCTACTTTTAAACGCTTTTAATGAGGTAATCAGAAGATCATTTAATTGAAAAAAGAATAGACCAGAAAATAGACACTTGTTAAAAAAATATATATAATCATTTATCTTTTAAATATAGGGTACATTACATTAATAAGTAAGATGTCAATAGGTACATATTTTGAGCCCGTTCATTTTTAAAATTTGGCCAATAGTTTGTATAAATTTTAATATTGCAAGAATAATTCTTGTTTGGTCGATTTTAAGCTGATTACATAACATACATTACCTTGACATAAATTTCATAGAGAGTTTTAATTATACTTTGTAGGTGAAAGTTTAATATGACCTTTCATGGCCGCTTAGATTGGAGTGATAGTAATTTATTTGATTATCATTATATACCTTATTTTAATTGAGTATCCTATATTGCAATGCCGTTACAATTACCATGGTTATAGAATAAACACTCTTTAAAAATGAGGTTATTTTAATTTCTTTACAAATGAGGTTTATATGTTTTTATCAACCGTTATTACTTACTTATCGGATAAGCGAAAATTTTAAAGTACTTGACTTATTTTAGTCAAGTGCAAGCTCCTCAATTGGAGTGAGATGGAAGAAGCCGTTGACAGTGTTGACAACTTCCGTGGTGATAGCTTTGACGATGGGTGGACCTAGTTCTGTTACAATTTCGTTTGCACTTGCTCCTAACAAATCGCGGATAGCTTGAGCTGAAAAATATGTAAATAAAAATTAATCATCGCCTGTGGTAGTGGCTGTTTGAAACAGTATTAGGAAAACCTAGCAAATTAACTAATATAGCCTCGGTTTATGAAAAGTGGATAGCTATTGATAAGACCATACGAGGAAGAAGAGAGCAAATTAAATTGCCTGTGAACAAACAACTAGGTCTCCAGTTTTTCACATTCTTAAACTCCAGGGAACCATTTACAATATTTTCACAACATTTTTGTTGGTCTCTTTGCATTAGTGTTTTAAAGTTCTGTAATCATTTTTGATTCTAAAATTTATATTGTATTTTTTTTTGTAACTACAACTTGTTTCTGAATTCATTTGTTCTATTTTAAGTTTATCACAATCCTTAATCTTGAATCATTTCTTTAAAATCAACAGTTAATGTATTAACTGATTTCATTAATTAAATTTACACGTATATAAAATCTTGGTAATAAATACAGTCATCGTACTTCGTAAGAAATTTATAGTTCAATGTTATAATTTGGATAGTATTGGCACTTACTTAGTTCCTCGCTTCCATTGAATAGGTTGGTGAGCTCAATGTTAGCTTTCTCCTTTATTATGTAAGACGAGTCCCAGTTTTTAACATTCCAATATTTTTTACCGCTCTTTTCGATTTCCTCCATGTCCACGTCGACAGTTATCAGGATTTTTTCTAAAATAAGAAGAGATTATTTTACATTATGTCTTCGCTGTATACCGTTTTTTTGTTATTGGAGTTCAGTATGATATATGATGCGATTTTTTTTATTAAAATAGTATAGCAAAAGCAAATTTTCATATTTTATTTAGTACAATATACCTGACTATGCTTACATGAACTAAAATTGATTTATCGACGCCAATTATTATTAACAATTTCCCAAACCAATAATTTGCATTGTGAATGCAAAATAGATAAAATATAATAATTCGTAGAATTTGTGAAGTAGTGTTAGGGTATACAAAGTTAGAATTTTGGCTCTACGCAAGATCTGATAACATGTTGCCAGTACCAATCATATGACCTCGGCTTGGCAACACTTTACATGGAAATTTTTAAATTGGGATAGTGTCCAAAAAAACTAAGACGATGCTATCGTAAAGTTACGCTTGTTGATTGTAGATCTTCTACATTATAACAAGCTATTTACGCTTATTTATTTAATTAGTTCGCTAAGAAAAGATTTTTTTTTTTAATTTAAGGTGTTCAGATAGGGATTTCAATCCATGTAATCTACATAAGCAGAGCTGCAGAAAAGTAGGTAGTGTTTTGCTCTTCATTTGTCTTTTGGTGTGGCTTTTGCGGGCCACTACCATGGCCCTAGATATGTACGAGGGTCAAACTGAAAGTTCTAAGAACTGGCCACTTATAAACAATATAATAAAAAAATAATTCTAAAATTTGAAAATATAACTCTTTGCCAATATTACTGAGTATATATTTCATTCATTTGTCATTTGTTTTACGATTTGGCGGCAAATTGAAAATTGTCTGTGTCACGTCATCATGAATTTAACACGAGAAAATTTTCGTGCAATGATTTTTTATGACTTTCGATGTCATTTAAGTCAACAAGAAAGTTATGATAGACTACGATTGGCCTTTCACGATGAAGCCCCATCTCGTGCGACTGTTTACAACTGGTTTAATGAGTTTAAACGTGGTCGCACTAATCTCACTGATGATTTACGTGAGGGACGGCCTTCTACGGCGACGACTGAAGATAACATCTGTGTTGTGCGGCGTATGATAGAGACTGACAAGAGAGTGACCTATCAACAGATTCGGACAAGCTTAGGCATCGGTATGAGTCAAGTGCACAAAATCCTCCACGAACATTTAGCGGTCAGGAAGCTTTGCGCCCGGTGGATACCTCATAATTTGACTGAGGCTCAAAAACTCCATCGTGTGGATTGGTGTCGTAAAATGATTGAAAGATTTAACGGAGGTGACTCAAATGCTGTGTTCGACATACTAACAGGTGACGAAAGCTGGATTTACTGTTATGATCCTAAAACCAAAAGACAATCTGCTCAGTGGGTGTTTCCTTTCGAGGAGTTGCCAACTAAAGTGAAGAGAGATCGAAGTGCGGGAAAAAAAATGGTGGCCTCGTTCTTTGGAAGGATAGGTCATTTTGCAACAATTGTGTTAGAGGATCAAAAAACAGTTTCTGCAGAATGGTACACTACCAATTGTTTGCCACTTGTCTTGGAAAAAGTTCGAGAGAAACGACCTCGCAGTAGGATCCTCCTTCACCACGACAACGCCTCGTCGCACACCGCCAAGCGAACGATCGACTATTTGGCGACATCAAACGTTGAATTACTGGGTCACCCGCCGTATAGCCCCGACCTCGCGCCTTGTGATTTTTATTTATTTCCAAAAATTAAAGAAAAACTTAAAGGAAAGCGGTTTATGAATGCTGAAGAAGCGGTGGCTGCGTATCGCGATGCCATTGAAGAGACCCCTAAGGACGAGTGGGCAAAGTGCTTTTCCCAGTGGTTCCATCGCATGCAGCGGTGTATTGACGTGAATGGACAATATTTTGAAAAGATATAATAAAACTAATAACTGGCTAATGTAATCAGTTTTTGATTTTCTAAGAACTTTCAGTTTGACCCTCGTATATATTTACTTACTGAGACTAACTATCAAATGCCCGTGTCCGTCTAATTTCAATACCAGAACTTTGCCTTTAATCTCATACTCTCCTTCAACCACCACGGTGCATAGTACGTTTACGTTCATTTTTGATTTAGCTGCATCACGGCTGAAAAAAATCACATCGTAAAATTTGTAGTCAGTACACAAAATTTGAATCATATTTACATCTATATATTTACTTGACAGTTGTATTATTGTTATAATACGTACTGTTTTGGTAATGACATGATTTATGTAAATGTCATTACATATGATATAGAGCTAGTAAGTTTTTTTTGCTTGTTCTTTTTGTCAGCTAAAAGACGTCCTGAATGAGTTGTAGGGGAAAATTTATTTTTGGACGATTCAAAAGTGCTTGAAACAAGCTTTCATTTCTAGCTTTCCAGCGGATTTAAACGCATAGTCTATAGTGAACTGTTTATTTGGATATTGATTCATGCAATGACGAATAGTAAACAACTAAGGCTAGAGTGAATAGGTTCCTTCTGGGAAAGTTCGTCGCACCGTAGATCTCATCTATGTCTTTAGGTTAGATTGAGGTCAAGAGTGAGCCCATTGTAGGAAAAAATAAAAATTGGTTACCATAGTAACGTTTTAATCCTCTATACAGACTACAGTCCAGTATAGATTTGTCTATTTTTAAACGCTAAAATCGGAGATAAAACTTAAAAAGATATTAATAAACATGTTGCATAACACGGCATATCCATCCGTGTTATGCACATGTCAGCAAAGTTTAAACAGGACTAGACGTCTTTAAGCACGAAATTGCAACAGTGGGCCTTTATTTATTTATTTATTGCATTCCACAAAGTAGTATTGGGATGTTTATAAAAAAATAAAGTATCTTTATGGACCTTGTCAGGCACAGCAAATTTGGAGAGAGGGGAGGACACTGCTTTAAAATATTGGTAATAAGTATTTCCTTTCTTTTATATACTAAAAAAAATAATAATATTTGAAAACTTACCCATTTAGCAGATATTTTAATTAAATAGATATTAAAATTAAAATACAATAGTAGAATATTATATTTAAATTTGAATTTATTTATGTATTTTTTTTCTTTATTTATGTTTTTTATTGAGTTTGGTAGATTATTGTATATTTTATTGACATTGCCAGTGAATCAAAAGTGATTTTAAGCGAGAGGTTGCTATGGTTAGTTTATTCCGATTGCGTAAATTAAAAGTAGTTCTTTCTTCGCGTTTTTTATGACATTTCGGGTATTTTCGTACGAACTTACATACTTCTAATATATATATGCAGGGTAATGTAAGAATTCGATATTTATAAAAGTATGGTTTACAGCTGTCTGTATTTTATAGGTTAAAGATGATACGAATCAGTTTTTTCTGCAATGTGAATAAAGACAGAAAATCTGTACTGTTTCCCAAAATGATAACACCTTATTACAACGCGGGAATTAATCACCACAGGTACTTTCTTTGAGTTGATTTTAAGAAGTCAAATATTGTTTAATCTGATAAGAAATAGATTTTGAAAGACTGATTGTAAATTAGCAAACAGAAAAGCAAACTTACGATATACTATCAATAGTGCATTCCTTGAGGCCTTTTACTGTAACACCATGGGCTATCAGATGTAAGTTCTGTTGGGTCGCGTCAATCTTCTCTATGATGAGTGGGTCCAAACTCTTCAACTCCGCCGACACTTTCCCTTCAGCTAGCAACGGGAGCAACGTTTGCGCAGATTTCTTTATGCAATCCGAATCACTTGCCGTGCATTTTGTTACAGGTACTATAATTATGAATAAATTAATTTCATGAAATATATTTGGAACAAACCTTTTTTAAATAAATCAAAGTTTCACCTAGAATTTTGTTGACACTATAGTTTACATTGAAATTCTATTCATAGTAATAAAGTTAGAAAAGGATTTATCCTAGAGTCATGTGTGTAGTTTTGATCGTGTCTGCATCGGATAAGTGTCTGCTTAGCTGGCAGCAATTTAAATAATAAATTCAAACATCTCAGTGCTGCCCTCAGTACCTTTTTGAAAATAGAATGCGATACCCGAGTGACCTTAATGATTACATATCTGTCTCACGTTTCTTTATCTTTTGTCGTTTTCTATTTTCCAAAGACTTAATGCAATGTGCGCACTCTTATCATAACAACAAGATCCTTTATCCATTTGTACAACAAAAATATTAACTAAACAAAACAAATATTTTCTAACATTAAATGCAAAAGATAAAACACACATGCTTAAGAAAGCAATGACAATACCAAAAGTATTCAGACTATGAAAAGTTCGGGTAATAAATAAAAATATAGACATTTACCTGATCCTCCATTGATTGAGTGGATCGATCCAAGGACAGCAAATAAAAACACTGCTTCGTGAAACATTTTAGATGTTTATTCGACACAAGAATATGACAGCAAAAACTAGTCACGACTTATTTGGACTATAAGATAAATGTTAATGTTATAAAGGTGGCTTTATTGAAACTTTATATAATCCACAAGGGATTGTTAGTGTATCGTCCGTAGTTTTAGGATGCGGCTCGGATGACAGCGATTAAAATTCACTACTAGAAGTGCAAATTATTAGAATTGGCTTCCGAAGCACGAAGTTAGAGGTATTAAATTTTTGATAATTCGATCTTATGATAGATCTTTGTGAAAGTGACTTTAAATAATAAGAGTGAGTTTTTGAAAGTAAACAATTTCAAAAATCTGAATGAACCTCATCTAAAAATGTTTCTTAATTATTACATTTCTCTCAAAGTACAGGAAAATTTAGCTAAAAGTATAAATATGAACTGCCAGTGGCTTCGCTAACGTGTTTTACATATTAATTATGTACAGTTTATTTATCCCTAGGGAACCGTTGAGTGGGATGAAAAGAAGCATGTGTTTATTCAAGGTTAGAATTATCAGGATATTAAGTATCATCTAAATCCTTACAGTAGTTTTTGCGTAAAAGAGCAACAAATATACATCCATCTTCACAAACTTTCGCATTTATAATATCAGAAGAATTGTACCAGTTATTTAATCACTATATCATATTTACCTATGTATAGCTGTACAATCATTATAGTTAAAAAATAGAAATAATGATCTTTGATGACCTATAGTTAATCTATACCAATATTATAAAGAAGGTAGACGGCATCGTTTGTATTCACAATGCTATAGTATACAATATTCTTCATAAAAAATGCTAAAAAAATCCACTTTGTCCCTAGCACTCAGAGTGCCAGTGGATTTTTAAAAATTTTTCATTAAAAATATTGTGTTGTTTGCACTGAATAGTCTCCGAAACTACTGCATCGCAAATATATATTGTTTCACTTACGGGGAAGCTGCAATAAACACGGGTGACATAGATTATAATTCAAGCGGGCGAAGTCGCTGGAACACAACTAGTCGTTAACTGGGCGTTTAATTTTAATTGAGCGATTTATTAATATCTCTCTAAATAGAGAGATATTAAGAAATCGCTCGATCGAATCGATTATTAATATCTCTCTAAATAGAGAGATATTAATAAATCGCTCAATTAACAACCCCAGCTTCAAACTAAGAATTTGTTGATTAATTATTCAAGGAACTCATCGAGCTAAAGTTGTAAAGTTAACGATGCGAAACTGTAAACAATACTTTATTATTATAATAATATTTATATTGAAATGTATAACGGTTTTTTATTCATATATTTTATTAATTGCAGACAATAAAAACGTTAAATATTTTAATTATAACTCACATATCAGGAAAAAAAACTTTTATTATATTTAAATAAAGTTATTCTTATTTATAACAATACCAAATTAGTTCCGTACGTGGTACTTGATTAAAAAGTAGTCTATGGTATGCGTAATAATAAATCTTCAAGACGGCATTTGTTAGGCAATGAAATATATCATTAATTCATATCTCATGCCGCTCTCACGATCATCCAAATTGTAATGAGAAGTGGTAATAGTCTTCTCCAAGGGAGACCGAATCGGCAAGGGCCGGTATAGGATGGGTGACCAAACATTTTAATATCTTGACCTCCTTCGTGCTTCGTTAGACACGTTAGGCTGTTGGTCGCAGCTGCGTCAGCAGTCCTTAACCAATCACACTGGACCCGTGTGGTGATTCATGACTCATACTATTTGATACGATTGTATGGAAGGACGCATGCTCGTTTTGCCATACGGTTATTGTGCAACTTTCACAAGGGTCGATCATATGATGGGTGACCAAAAATTTTATTCTCTCAGCTCCTCCATGCTTCAGAAGGCACCCTAAGACCAGTCTTAATACTTAACAATCCGCACTGGATCCCTATGGGCCATAACCCATTCTCCCTATTCGTTTTAATTTGAATCCATCCATTAAGGAAGGCCTTATGAAGATTTTATTTGGAAGCGCAAGTTTATAATAAGATCTTGTTATAAGCAAACGAAATCTCCTACACTAAAAAATTAACAACACGAGAATTTATCATACCGCTTTTATATGTCTATTATATTTTTACGGTTCGTAAGTACGATTTGTTACGTTCATTGAGTCTTCCCCTGGTGTACCCTGGTCGATAATTTGGGCTCATTCGTTATTCGTTTTATAAGGGAGCAAACACACAGGGAGACGTCACGCAAACGGTTTTGGCACGTGTCGCGTGCTCACCACGATAGTTGCAAAACGATTTGATGTTTACTAAATCGGAACACGATGGATGTTGTACACGGTGTTTAAGATTAAGCGTTTTAATAATATAATGAAACATTTTTTTCTGAATTCGTTCACACTTCCAAGTGACGCTTCCAAGTGGAGTAAAAGGATAATAAAATACAATATATTGTAGAACTTCAAGTCAAAAGTTTGATCCAAAATTTATTAACGAAATTGCTTTTTAGCAATAAGGCCGCCAATTGTACTGTTCTGTAAGATTATTATATATTTGTTCATTCACTTATGGTGTGTACGATTAAGAGTTAAAAATTAAAATAAAAAAATATTTACGAGAATCTTATACAAAAAAATATACAAAAAAAAAAAACTGTTTGACAGATTTGAAAATGAACTAAAGTATTTTTAAAATACACATTGCAGAAGTTAGAAAACCAAACTATTAATAAATCGTATCCATGTGAAATCATTAATAATGAAGTACTGACTGATGTGAATCGAAAAAAATATTAAAGCATAAATTACTATAAATATACATTCTCATTGTTATTTCCTGATCAACATATGATTTCCTGTAATAAAAAAAAACAATGATATAAAGGTAAACATGTTATAATAAAAATATCAATCGTTTTCTTTAAAAGTGCGAATCTTCTTTCTTGGATTTTTAGTTCCATAATATGTAAAGGTTAAATATTGAGGTGAAAGTTTAAATTAATTCATTCTACATTAACTTTTATTAAAGGAAATCGCGTCGCCAATGAATAAGCGTTAACGTTAGTTCTTTACTTGATAACATCACCTCGTGGGAATAAATCAGTCCGTTATTGATTGGTAGTCGGTAGTTAGTTACGCCCAGGCTAATTCATTTTCCAGTTCTCCCCGCGAATGATGTGAGGGTGCATGTAAATATTTTTTTTTTTCCCGTATTATTACACTGCTTACTGGGGTGATAGGTATCTATCTATATTATATAAAATTTTTGACAGACAGACAACGTACAACCGAAACAACGGAGCGTAGAAAGTTGAAATTTGGAATGGAGATTCCTTAGGGGGTATAGAGGAGCACTAAGTGAGGATTTTTGAAAATTTCATCCCGAAGTGGCTAAATTAGGGATTGAAGATTTGTATGAAACTTCGTTACTACAACTGCTAGGAGTTTAAAATTTTACATACGCGTTCTTTTTAGAACATAGGTGCTCAATAAGACGGGATTTTATGAAATTTGATCCCTAAGGGGGTAAATTAAGGGGTGAAAGTTTATATGAATCTTCGTTACTACAACTGCTAGGAGTTTAAAATTTTACATACGCGTTTTTTTTAGAACATAGGTGCTCAATAAGACGGGATTTTATGAAATTTGATACCTAAGGGGGTAAATTAGGGGATGAAAGTTTTTACGGAATTTTCTCATTTCTGGACTTAAAACTAGACCACGCGGGCGAAATCGCCGGCAAAAGCTAGTACAATATAAAACAAAGTAGCTTCCCGCTCTCTGTACATTGAGATTTTTTGAGCTACATAACGGATTTTAATGCGGATTCTATCATTATACTGATTTGATTTAAGAGAAAGTTTTATATATATATATATCTAATTACAGGACTAGAAAAGAATTCGCTAGTATTTTATAAAATTATACTAAACATTTAAACGGCCTCCGTAGCCGAGAGGTTTAAGATGCCCAAGGTGTCATTAGTAAGTTCCCAGATTCGAGTCCCGGTAGGGTTTTGTGTTGTCTCGTGTCTGGTGTGTGGTGCCTTCGTTGTTTAAGATTTCTATAAATGGTCCATCCAATTGATTTAGATATACAATGTATGTGAAGTTATCTAATATTTATTTATTAAAGTCACTCATTGATTGGTAATTTATTATAAATAGACAATCAAAAACGTCTTAGTCAAAGTAATACATAAATAAACTTAAACTTGCTTTTCTTGAATTGCAGAAAAGTGTAATAAACACCGAATTTCATAAATACAAAAGTAAATATGCCTGTCTGTTGCACTTTCATAAAATATTAACAATACGCCTGAATGTATGCGAAATAGACACGAACTAAAGTTATTCACTTTAAAATCAAGTTAGAATATATATATATACCGAATTTGCTTGCTTATATGAAAAATAATCTCTTTGTTGTTATTTTTCATATAAGCGACCTCGTTTTAAGTGAAACGAGGATTAACTGAATACAAAATTTAAGGAGGATAAATACAATAAATAAATTTATTGACAAAAACAAAGATGTTACAATAGAGATTTGTGAGGTGTATAGTGAAGTGTAAGGAGTATGATAGTGGTGAAGGTGGTACGGCGAATTAAGCGCGGGTCGGTGGTCGAAGAGGCGTAGAGACTCCCGGAGCATCGAGGTTCTTCGGTAGCCTGAACTGAGCAGTTCGGGTCTCTAGGAAATTTTGGATATTTAACATTCTTTGTTTTAAATCATTGTATTTGAATTGTTATTGTTTTTCATGAATTATCGAAATAAACGAAAGAAAATAATTTGAAAACACGACTAAATAAAAATTGGGAAGCGTCACCGCTTGACTGTGGAGATTCCACAAACTCGCACCAAGCGATTCGCCTCTACATTCATCGTGCGAACTGCGAAACTGTGGAATTCGCTACCGGACTCGCTGTTTTTGGGCAAATACAATCTGGGACTCTTCAAGTCAATTGTGAATCGGTTCCTTCTAGGCAAGCACTTTCCATCTTAGATCACTGCATTGCTTACCATCAGGTGATCTGTGGTCAAGTGCTTGCCTATGTAGAATAAAAAAAGAAAATCTGTTTTTAATT